ATAACTACTGAATGGCACCGTACTCAGTGACTCACATTACCACACACCAAATCACATACTGAGTTTCTGAAAGTGAACTCCTACTGCACTAGGCAAGCACTAAATGTTGCTTGGAATGAATGCAGCTACCTGTGTGTCTTGCCGACACACTTCTCTCAGCTTGCACTATGTTTATTCCATGTTCATATCGGACCCACAAGCCAAATGTGCAGACATTTAGATGCCAATTTTTCAGAAGAAAACAGCAGCCTTGCTTATTTTACAATCGCATTACCTGAAGTTGAGCAGAGAGAGCAGACGCAGTGCGTTTTTCTGTGTCTTTGGTGGGGTTAAGTGTCTGGCTGTGTATAAAACAGGAACAAGCACACAGTTTATGAAACATTGTTTCTATCGGTGAGGATATTTGAGAAGAGATTTCAATCAGTGCATTTTGATCTGAATTATAATTTGCCACTATAGAAATGTTCGCGATTTCACAAAAGCCTGGTCCGAGTCTAAAGCCTATTTACCTAACCATTACAAAGCTTTGAGCAAAATGTCTGACTTAATATAACGCAAAGCTGCACATCTAATGCAAAGAGAAAGCTGTCTACTCGCTGCCGCAACTTTGCTAACACTAAGTATTTTGGCTTCTTGAATTTAAAATTAATGAAATTAGATTATTTTGTCATGCCGACGTCTACATACAAATGCGCTTTAATTGCTCATGTTGTTAAGTTCTTCAAAATGCTACCCAATATGGTGAATTCCCACTGACATTCGGTAACACATGGACTTACTTCCTGTTCTTTGCCTGGCGTATTTCAGGCCACATTGTGCCCTACTGAAGTGACCTTTGTTGAGCTGAATTTTGCCGTGTTAAATAAAGCGATTTTCAGTTAACTGGACAGCACACTCACAACGACCTGCAACATCACCGCCCATAACTGTGCCTTCATGATTGCAAATAATGACATCATTTGCATCGAAATTCAAGCTCACGTGGATGCAAAAAGCCTAGGTATTTGCACTAAACTCTGAGATTCAATAAGTGGCAGTTTAGGTAACACACAAATTCAACCAATAGGGGTAGGCTCAAGGTAAATGAACTCATATCACTAAGCCATGTCGGCTCGTGTGCATGGCATTGCACGAGCATGGTTCCTGTGACAAATATTTATCATTTAGCACCCAAGAAGAAAGAAGCCAAGGCACCTAAATCAGAAGGTAATTGTCAAGAATGTACATGACACATACTGAAATGCACGCAAGTGAGCCTAATCACAAGCGTTTTTCTATCAACAGATAAGAAGGACGGCAAGCCGACTTCCGCCAGACGTCGGCCCCAGGAGGGTATGTGCTTGGTATTTTTCATAAATCTGCACCCTTGCCTCATATGCGCTCTTACCTCCATCGCCTTCTCCTCTAGTGCCATATTCGGACAGCGACTCTGGAAGTGAGTTTAGTCAATTTGCACATTTGGGTATCCATGCAGAACTGCGTGGCTGGTGTTCGAAATGTTTCACTACAGAGCAGCAAGCATTACTACAAGATTCTTTGCTTCTCCTACAAATATCCTGGAATCAAATAGTCAGCGTATTTCTAAACTCATACATGGCGTCACAGGTGTACAATTAAAACCACATTCAGGTATATGCATCCTTCTCCAAATGCAATTAGGTAAGCGAGAACACTACCGCATTTGCTATCTAAGAGAGCAAACGGATCATGCACGTGTTCAGACCGCGATGACAGTGGACTGAATTTGAAACAATTCCATGATTGGTTTTGCCATAAAAAATGGAGGTAAACTGTTCTAGTTTAGAAGAAGGAATTAGACGGATAGTGCAGCACTAAACCAACACGTTGAGAGCTCACATAAGATGCAGATGTTATGTGCTGATTGAGTGTTGCTGTGTATATAAAACCGTTCTTATTCGAGTTATCAACCGTTCTTTTTGCCTTTGTAGTTTATCAAGTGAGAAGCCACAGGGTACTTCGAAGGCGCCAGCCCCCTCCAAAACCAAGCCGATACTCACGTAATTTAATTGACATTTTTTATCGCGAAGTGATTCAAACACGTTGGAACCTGTGTTTACGATTGGTAATTTTATTCGAGAAAACTCCTTCATATCTTTCATCACCGCCAATACGCTTGTTACGCCGATGATTCTTAGAAAAATGCAGTGTACACGCAGTGTTGGGGCCAAAAAACTTAGAGATTGAATGGCATGGTGGATAATAAATAAGCTGGTGGCTAGTAATGTAGGGGTGTGTTTGATGCGTCAAATCTATGTGAAACCAGCCAACCTCGACCATATCGATACTAATAAGATTTGTGTAGCAATTTAAGAGCACGAATTTATACAAAGTCATGGTATCTACGTCTGGACCTCTACGTATCTGGCACAGGACAGCCACACCTCCGATGACTTTATAAGCTAGGAAGTCACTAAGCCAACACGAGATTGACAGCTTACCCTGCGAATTGCCGCTTAACTAAGCGGTGAAACACTGCGGCCCAGACTTCAATGCCCTCACCACTGTTCTATGAAATGACTGGTTAAGCACTGGTTTTTAAAAGTGGCACTCAGGACCCGTTTCGTTTTTAGGTGATACATACTTTGACAGGGTCCTTAACAATTCTGACAGCTCCTCGGAAGAGGACTTCAGTCAGGGTATGTGAAGTTGCAGCAGTGCTCGTGCTTTTAATTAATGCTGACAAAGGAAGAAAAGGTGCTGTCACACAAGAGCCTTACATAACGCATATATTGCTGAAAGCAGAGTTGGAAATTGCTTCAACCTGCACACAGGCCTGTTTCTTAATGAGTGACGTGGAATCATAAACAATCTTCCATTCACGCACACGAGTGTATTAAAAGTTAACCGACGATATTTATTGCATGATATCCATTTAATTGCCCTGTTCTTCTGGTCGGACAAGGAGAAATGGTGAGATTACACCAGCCCACGCACTGATTTCGACTGACAGTTTAAAACTACACCTCTTTACTAAGGTCCAAAGAGCAGTAGATTATGATTCCTTGAGAGATGGCCAACTACCAATGAGGTTTACATAAGTTAGTCTGTTACTTCAGCGTGGGTTAGTTTATTTTAAAAGCGCCCCAAAAATTTACCAATTAAAGCTATTTTTTAAATGGTACTGTCAATTATTGCGAAATTTATAATTCATTTGTCCAAATTAGTAAGCCGAATGTTTGTAAGAGGGGTTAGCAATGACAATACCTGCGAAGTTATTTTGCGATGAGACGTGTAAAGAGGCATTAGGTTCTGTTTGCAATATCGTTAGACCAAAGTGTCTCAATTTTAACGAAGGTTGTGTTAGTGCACACCGTTTTAGAAGCAAGTAAAACC